GTGCCTGCCGCACTGCCAGGCTAAGTGGGACGGGGCGCTTTGTGCCTCGGCCCAGGGGGTGACTGCTGCCACCCCCCCGGCTCTCATACACAGCTTTCCTCATCTCGTGCCATCTTCTCCATGACTCTTTTGGTCTGAAATAGCAGGGGTAGACCTGGTCCTGTCCATTCCCCATCCTCACCCCTAGACATTGCTCGCAAGCACCAATCTCAGCCCTGGCATCTCTCCTGCATGACTCTCCTTTGATGGAGGGGCTGACCTTCCCCTTCAGCAGCAATCCCTAAATGGGTCCTCGATCCTCCTCCACCTCCTTCTTCCTCAGCATCCTACCATGCCCCAGAACCCAGTTCCCAAACTGATGGACCCACAGCCCTGTCCCTGCCCCAGGATCAGCTGCCTCCTCCTGCCAGTCCAGCTTGGCCCCACCCGGTGGCTGGGCGGCTGCGGGATTTCCAGTGGGGGGCTTTGGGGAACGCTGTTTCTTTTCACTAACTTGCCTTTCTCTCTCTCTTCCCTCTGCTGCGCTGACGTCTACTACGTTTTCTCTAGAGCGTTCCCAGCAGGAGGCCGAGAAAAACCGTGTTCTCACTAACGAGCTACGGGTCATCCTTACTGAACTTAACAACTGAGATGCCCAGAGCTCCTGGCCCGAGCCCAGCCTCCTTGCCCTGTTTTGGCCCGGCTGGCTCGGGGCTAGGAGCCCCTATCTGCACCCCACCGGGGCTAGGTAGGATGTGGAGCCTTAGCTTATGGCCCCAGGTGTAACCACCCTGCTTGGGAACCCTTCTGGAGCTGATCGGTTTTTCTTGGGAGAGGAATGAGGGGTTTTGTGATGTGGTGGTTTGTATCACTGCCTTCCTCCCCTTATCCCAGGAGTCAGTGGCCAACCTCTTTCTCCCCCCCCTTACCCCAGGAGTCAGTGGCCAGCCTCTTCCTCCTCACTCTGGTCACCCCAAACTGTGCAGGGAGGACACCCTTGGAGCAGGGTCCCTTCAGGGTGCTGGGAGGGCTGGGATAGGAGCTGGGGACCTAGTAGCACCCGCTGCTCCAAACCTGGGGCAGGGAAAACCCCAGCAGGGAGTGCTGGGAGATGGGACTGGGTGGGCAGAGCTCTCCTCCCATCCCTGTCTCTAGAGGGAAGGAGGATGCCATTTGGAAGCGAACACCAGAGGAGGCTGTGTCGGCAGTGGTCTGGCTGGCAGAGCTCGTCCCTGCAGCCTTGTTAGCTCTCTGCTGTCCTCTCTGCTGGCCCTCCTGGGCTGCTATATCACTCCATCTCTTCACTGAGCACCTCTGGGTCATGAAGCAGGCACTGGCTCTCCTCTTTTGCTGGCCAAGGGTTTGTGCATGTGCCCACAGCCAGCCAGCGGTGATGGCCCTGGGCAGGACATGCTGGTGGCTGGCCAAGGAATGGTACCCACCAGTGGTACCTGCGCTGCAGAGGGCCCAGCCATGGGCAACAGGGCACCATGGCAGGATGGAAATGCTGAAGAGTGGGGACCACCTGCCCCCAGTGACCAGCCTGGTTCGCCTGGCCACCTTGGCAGGTTCCAGAGGGGCTGGGTTCATGCCTGCTGGTGATGGGGCTGCTTGCATGGACTCCGGTCTGCAGGGACACCCCACTCAGCTGGAGGCTGTCACCATACTGAAATGTCCATCTGTGTGCGTGTGTCTGTGCTTGGTGTGGTGTGTGTGGGTCTGGCTGCGCCTGGGTACACTTGGTCTGTGTGTGCGTGGCTGTGTGTCCCTTATATTCACAGAGAGTCTGGCCAGTGCCAAAGAGGAGAACGTGGGCATCCACCAGGTCCTGGACCAGACCTTGTTGGAGCTGAACAATCTCTGAGCTGCACTGGGGAGCCCTCTTCCCTACCCTACACATGCACCCCACTAGCATGCTCAGGATGTCATCAGCTGAACTGCGTCTTGGCCAACTCCACACATCCATTGAGAAGGGAAGTCCTGCAGCCTTACACTGTGGCTCGGAGGCATCTCGTCTGTGCACAGCCTGACTGGCTCTGTCCTGTCTTCATGTCCAAATATTAAAGCGGTTTGACAAGACGAATGGGTGCGTTTGGTCCTTGCAGGCAGGCATAGGCACTGGGAGAAGTGGTGGGGGTCTCCCTGCCCAGTTCATGCAAGGAGGGTCTGCAGAGGCTTGGGTCCAGGGTGAGTATGGCCAGCATAAGGATGTCCTCTGCAGCCATGGGGGGCTGGGAGCGATAATGCACATGGTTTGGGCTGCATTCCCTCATCTCCATTGCTTACACAGTGTGCACAGGAAATATCGACGTCTCGAGCTCAGTCCAAACTCACCATGCTCTTCAAGTGCACAGTGAAGCATATGTCACTGGCATGTCCCCTTCCATAGCCAGCATGTTACCTGCCTGGCACTTGGGGAAGGCACAAGCTCTTTGACCTCTCCACAGAGTCTGCTTTATGGTGCCTGTTCATGATTCATTCTGAGGACGCATACAAGTGTGTGACATGTGTGCACACACCATTAGTTATCAGGATCTTCTCCAGGTCTGGAGTTAGCTGCTTACCCTGTGTACTCGTTGCATTTTCTATTACCAGTCCCTGTACCCCCGCCTGAGGGACAGCTGTACAAACTAGCAAATACTAACACAGTAGGCAACCACTTCCCAAAGTGCTCAGGAAGTTTCCTCCTGGCTTGCCGTATTTTTCCCAACACAAAGAGAAGAGCAGCAGGATGTGTCTCACTGCTGTCACCAAAACGGGCTGGATTTCCTGGGGGTGCCCAAAGTCATGATCTAGTCCTGCCCTCTGCTTCGGCCGCATCCCCCCCACCCCCCACCCCCGGCCCCGTGATGTGTGCCAAGTCCTGTTGTCCCATGCTACCCAGAGGATATCCCTCTAAAAGCACAGCCTCACGCTTCCAGGAAACACAATTCATGCTGACCCCTTGCTGAGCCAGACCATTGCCCTGGTGAGCAGCTGGCAGGAATAGCTTTCGTTATCTGCTTTCCTTTATTTGCTGCGCCTCTCAGCTCAGGAAAGGAGGGTAGTGAGATTACATCTCTTTCCTGCCCAGGTGCTGCTGGCCTCCTGCCCTCCCCCCAGCCCAGCACCTCTGGTTTGTGATTCTGAGACCTTCTCCTACAGGGAAAAGGGCTCCCTTGCATGGGGTGCTCATTTCTGGTTGTCCTCTCAGGGTGGGAGACCTGCTATGAGCCACAGCTATCCCACCCTGGACGTGCTGGATGGAAGGACAGTGGCACAGCTGCCCTGGCCCGCCAAGCAAGGGCTGCAGCTCCTCCTTGGGTCCGCCTTGCTTTTCTGCAGCACATCAGCTGAGCCATTCCGTTGTTTGGTCAAAGCGTCTTCCAGGCAGGGTTTTGTCTGGCTGCAAAAGGAACAAGAGGGTAAAACCATCTCTTCTCCGGAAGCCTGTACCCCGCACTGCGAACAAGCCTGCCCTGTGCTCCTATGAGGGCGCGTCCCCAGCGCCCAGCCTCTGGGCGGCCTTCGCCCTTCTGCTGGGACAAAGAGCCCTTTCTACCCATTAGCTGCTGCTGCCTCCTGGTTTGGACCAGTCCATTTAACTTAACCATTCACAACCAGCTGCAAGGGCCTTGTTTTTCCTCTGAACTTTCTGTGGTTTGGCAGTGAGATCCTGGCTGCTGTTCGCAGGTAATGCTCTGCCCCAGAGACAGTAGCCTATCTCTCACAGTTCAGCAAACTCCATTTTCTTCGTCCTCCCACCCATCTCCTTCCCTCCACCGCCCTGCAGAAAGACACGGGCCAAGGGAACCTCTGGGAGGCCAGGGCACTGTGGAGCTGCTGGCAGGAGAGTTCGGCCTGGAGGCATATCTCCCCACCTGTGTCACTCAGGCCCATGGTGAGGACCGCAGTGCCCACCCTCTCCTCCCTCCCTCCTTCCCCCTGCACCCCTCCCACTGAATTTCAACCTTTGGATTTGTTTATCTTGGCCTGACAGACCAAAGATCTCCCTGCAGAGCTTTCAGCCCTGGTGTGGACTGCCACCCCGTTGATAAACCACCACAGTAACCTCTGGCAGCCTCCCACCTACCCTCTCTTCTCCAGTTTTCTCATCATTCTGGTGCCTCACCTCATCTCTGAATCCCTCTTGTTCAATACCCTTGAACTACGTGCTGGAGGGGAAGGGCCACTCCCTGAAGAGCATCAGGGAGACATTTTGATGAGACACAGATATTAGGAAAAATTTCTTTACTGAAAGAGGGGTTAGACATTGGAACAGGCTGCCCAGCGGGGTGGTGGAGTCACCATCCCTGGAGGCGTTCAAAAGACATATAGAGGTGGTGCTTAGGGACATGATTTAGTGGTGGGCTTGGTAGTGTTAGGACATGGTTGGACCTGATGCTCTTAAAGGTCTTTTCCAATCAAAATGATTGTATGATTCTATGTTTAGCCATGCAGAGCTGGACACAGACCACTGCCACCCTCCAGTCCCTCCCTGGGTGCTTGAGGGACATTTAGGTGAGAGCACAAAGTGCCATGCTGCCGAGCTGTGTGGGTTTTGCAGGGCTCTGGGTGATTTCAGAACAGGGGAGGCTGCCTAAAGCCAAGTGCTGCACAAAGCTCCCAGTCTCCCAATCAGTAGTATGGATTTGTGGATCCCAGCAGAGGAGGAAAACATGGCAATAACCACGTGGCGCTGCCTCATTTCTGCATGAGTTACATATGCCCCATATGCACCCCACATCAAGCCTGTGCTACTCGAGCTGCATGGAGCAGGCAGTGGAAAAGGAGCATGTAGCCCCTGCCCCACGTGCTCAGGGGCTGCAGGGGGTCTGGGAGCAACGCCAGAGGCTCCCTGCAGCAATGCAGGCCTATGGCAGAGTGACAGGCACCTAGGGATCCTTTGGGACACCTCACCCAACCCCCAGCACCCTCGGGTTGCCCAGGTCCTGGTGGGCAGCCCGGGGTCCCCCTTACTGGATGGCTTCTGCGAGGGCACCGGCGACAAGGCCAAGCTCCCCTGGGTGCAGGCCGTGTCCCTGTTCCATGACAGGACCGGGTCCCATCCCGTGCAGGCTGTGTCTCCCTGGCGCAGGCCATACCCACCTGTGACAGGGCCAAGTTACCCCCTTTGGCAGGCTGTGCCCTCC